GTTTTCTGAACTTCTAACCTCCTTATATTTGGGCACAACAAGGTTAAGGTGTGAGACGGATCCATATAAGTGATGACCTTAAAATGACATACCGTATATCTGCCGTGAATAAGAGGATACCGGCAATAAATACAGTATTTTGCCATTCACATTTATATGTTTTTTATGAGCCTGGCATCAGGAGAAGAGCCGATCAATGGCCAAGTTTGCTACAAATTCTTCGGGGACGAAAGTACACGAGGACCGTCTTCCTGTCTAATTGATAACATTCAACTGGGACCAGTTTATAAAGGCCTCGTGGCGTCTTTGGACAAGCAAAGTGTGACCACCGAGGGAGCAAGGAAGGAAAACAAAGCAAAGGTGGCACCAATGGGCTTGAATTAGTTTCTTAAAGGTCAAAATCTTTTCCCACCCAGACCTTTTCCCACCCGCACCATGAGGGAGCCATTTACACCTCAGAAAGGTGTAGAAAGAAGACAAAGCCTGGTTTGGTTATAAAGTCAGTCAAGCAGAATAAAGCCTTATATGACTGTTAACTGCAAAGGCCCTTTTGCCAACTTTTTTGACCACAACATACAAACAGATTCCACCTTCCATGGCTTATGCAAATATATATACTCATACATATACATACATACACACAGCCATTGTATATAAGGGATTCCATTGTATGTTTGCATGCTAAGTTGCAAATTTCGAGCTCTGAGAATGACCTGGGAAGGAATCCCACTGGCGCACTGCAGCACACCAAAATATCTGGGAGTTATTCTGGACTGTGCCCTGACTTCTAAGAAGCACTCCTTGACTATCAAGCAAAAAGTCGGCACTAGGAATAATATCATATGAAAGCTAACTGGCACAACCTGGGGATCACAACCAGACACAGTGAAGACATCTGCCCTTGCACTTGGCTACTTGGCTGCTGAATATCCATGCCCAGTGTGGAATACATCTCACCATGTTAAAACGGTGGATGTGGCGCTTAATGAGACATGCCGCATTATCACAGGATGTTTGTGACCAACACCGCTGGAGAAATTATACTGTTTAGCTGGTATTGCACCACCTGGCATCCGTCAGGAAGTAGCAACCAATAATGAAAGGACCAAGGCAGTGACAACTCCAGCTCCATCCTCTGTTCGGATATCCACCAGCATGCCAACACCTTAAATCAAGATTTTTTATTTATTTATTTATTTTATTTTATTTACAACATTTATATATTGCCCTTCTCACCCTGAAGGGGACTCAGCTTTGATGTCTATCCCACTTTTGAAGGCTTTCATGGCCGGAATCACTGGGTTGTTGTAGGTTTTTTCGGGCTATATGGCCATGGTCTAGAGGCATTCTCTCCTGACGTTTCGCCTGCATCTATGGCAAGCATCCTCAGAGGTAGTGAGGTCTGTTGGAACTAGGAAAAGGGTTTATATATCTGTGGAATGACCAGGGTGGGACAAAGGACTCTTGTCTGCTGGAGCTAGGTGTGAATGTTTCAACTGACCACCTTGATTAGCATTTGATAGCCTGGCAGTGCCTGGAGCAAACTTTTGTTGAGAGGTGATTAGATGTCCTTGTTTGTTTCCTCTCTGTTGTTGTGCTGTTGTAATTTTAGAGTTTTTTAATTTGAGAACACAGAAATGCTGGACCACTCTCACAACCACCATGTCAGACTACACAGAGAAACCATTGAAATACACAAGCATGTGGACAATTTCAACAGAAAGGAGGAAACCATGAAAATGAACAAAATCTGGCTACCAGTATTAAAAAACTCTAAAATTGCACAACAACAAGAGACAAGAGTCCTTTGTCCCACCCTGGTCATTCCACAGATATATAAACCCTTTTTCCTAATTCCAACAGACCTCACTACCTCTGAGGATGCTTGCCCTAGATGCAGGCGAAACGTCAGAAGAGAATGCCTCTAGACCATGGCCATATAGCCCGAAAAACCTACAACAACCCAGTAAATACAATATATTCTATTATTACCATAGCACAACATTAATATTATATATTACATTGTACTATAACTTTATACTGTAATATTATTAGTAATATTACATTTAATATAAAATACATAATTATAATATCATATTATTAGTGTTGTTGTTGTTCATTCACTCAGTCGTCTCCGACTCTTCGTGACCTCATGGACCAGCCCACACCAGAGCTCCCTGTCGGCCGTCACCACTCCCAGTATATAGTAGTACTATATTGTATTACATTATAATATTATCAATATTATATGTATATGCAATATATGATATGATATGATGTTATATTATAAGCACAGTGCAGGAGACAAGATGGAACTGCCTTCCTGGCCCTTCTCTTCACTCTGATATAGCTCTCTAACATCTACAGAGATACTCGCTGGAACACCTCAGCAAGAGAGAGTCCAAAAGTGGCAGGCTCAAACCCAGAACCTCAATCAATGGCTGATACCAAATGAGAGACTCCCCTCTGGGCACACAGAAGACTGGGCAACTTGGAAGGCGCTGAACAGACTGCGCTCTGGCACCACGAGATGCAGAGCCAACCTTAAGAAATGGGGCCACAAAGTGGAATCACGACATGCGAGTGTGGAGAAGAGCAAACCACAGACCACCTATTACAATGCAACCTGAGCCCTGCCACATGCACAATGGAGGACCTTCTTATAGCAACACCAGAGGCACTCCAAGTGGCCAGCTTCTGCTCAAAGGACATTTAGTATCATGCCAAGTTTCTAGCTTATTTTGTGTGTTTAAAATACATTACAACTCAACCCTCCATTTGCTTCTGACACGATAAATAAAATAAAATGAGACTTCAACATCCATCAATTTTGGAATCCACAGGATGTCCTTGGGACGACTCCAACAGATACCAAGGGTTCACGGCATAGCTATGACGATAATTCTCTTTCCCAAAGAGCCTTTGGACCCAATTCCTTTTCTTTGCTGTTATCAAGGGATAGTGAGGCTCCCATCTCCAAAATCATAGGCAGGGTTCTGCTGGATGATACAACTTTTGGTAGCCAGAAGGAAGGAGGGTATTGGCGGTGTCTGACTCTAATCTTGCTGGGATTAGGGGAGATTGTCCCTTGTTTACGGGTTTTAAGAGGCTGTAACCTATCCGCGGACCAGTCTGAAAAGGCAGGACAGAGAGGGAAATAAAACGTTGACTGCTGGAACAGAGATTTAGTTGAGACCAGGCATAATTGATGAATGCTGGGTATTATAGTCCAACAAACACCTGGAGGTCCGTATGATTGGTAAAGATTATTAGTAACTGCAAAGATTTCTATAGCATGGACTGCTGACCTGTTCTTTTGTCTACCAAGGCATTCGCTGAGTCCCATTCAACCATCTTACAAGCTACTGTTTGATTCGATTCGTTCCAGGGTTTTTGCTGCCTCCAACACGCTGACATTTTTCCACCTGTCTTCCTAATAATAATAATAATAATAATAATAATAATAATAATAATAAACCTTTATTTATACCCCGCTACCATCTCCCGCAGGACTCGGTGTGGCTTACAAGAGGCCGAGCCCAAGTACATCAATAAAACACAACGACAACAATACAACAATAAATAACTCATAAACAAAGTAAAACAATGACAATAATCACGACACATTTAAAAATCTTCCTAAGAGACTTGCAGGATTTTTTTTGGAGGAAACACTGATGGAATCCTTTCAGGAGTTGAGTGTCATGTCTGTAGGCAGTCTATGTTTCACAGACATAGCACAGGGTTGGGTTATAAAGGGTTGCTTTATACACAAGCACTTTGGTCTCCCTACGGATGTCCCAATCCTCAAACACACTCTGCTTCAGTCGGAAAAATGCTGCACTTGCAGAGCTCAGGCGGTATTGTATTTCAGTGTCAATGTTGACTTTTGTGGAGAGATGGCTGCCAAGGGAGTGGAAATGGTCAACATTTTCTAATGTTACACCATTAAGCTGTATCTCTGGCATTGGAGAGGGATTGGCTGGTGACTGCTGGAACAGCACTTTGGTTTTCTCGATGTTCAATGAGAGGCCCAGCTTCCCGTATGCTTCTGCGAAGGTATTTAGAGTGGCTTGTAGGTCTTCTTCTGAATGAGCACAGACTACGTTGTCATCAGCATACTGGAGTTCTATAACAGGTGTTGTTGTAACCTTTGTTATGCCTCTGCTTGTAGTCTGTCTGCGCGATCTTACAGCAGCTGATGATGTGATCTATTGTTTCATCTGCTTCCTTGTAGAGTCTGCACTACATCATCATCATCATGGGGTTGCCTTTGAAGACTGCTCGGAAGCTTCAAATGGTCCAGCGTTGGCAGCCAGGTTGCTAACAGGAGCGGCACTCAGGGAGCATACAACTCCTCTGTTGTGCCAGCTCCACTGGCTGCCAGTTTGCTACCGGGCACAATTCAAAGTGCTGGCGTTAGCCTATAAAGCCCTAAACGGTTCTGGCCCTACTTACCTCTCCGAACGCATCTCCTCCTATGAACCGACTAGGACATTAAGATCATCTGGGGAAGCCCTGCTCTCTGTCCCGCCTGCATCACAGGCGGGACAGACCAGAGATTCTATAATTACGGTTCTCAGAACAGAGAGATCTTAACATTAGGATGTTAAGATCGTCTGGGGAGGCCCTGCTCTCGGTCCCGCCAGCCTCACAAGCACGCCTGGCGGGGACGAGAGACAGGGCCTTCTCAGTGGTGGCCCCTCGGCTGTGGAACGCCCTGCCTACAGATATCAGATCGGCCCCCTCCCTGCTGGCGTTTCGGAGGAAAGTGAAGACCTGGCTGTTCGAACAAGCATTCGATTAAACAGTGTAATTGAACATAGGAATATGGAATAATGGATGATGAGACTGGATTCTGATGTTACTGTTGAGGCGCTAATGACTGTTATACTAATGTTTAATTGTTTATGTTACAATTGTTTTTAACTGCTATATACTTGTCTTGTGATGTTTTGTATTTATGTTGTTAACCGCTTTGAGTCGCCTAAGGGCTGAGAAAAGGGGTATATAAATAAAGTAAGTAAGTAAATAAATAAATCATTTGAAACACAACAAGATGAGTCCACAGGAAACAAGATCACTATTACGTTATCATCAGCATATTGGAGTTCTATAACAGATGTTATTGAAACCATGGTTTAGGTTTTCAGTCTGCTGAGGTTCAATAGCTTGCAATCTGTTAAACTGAAGGAACGCCTGGGTGGAAAACACTTTTCCGATGACGACGAGGTGAAAATCAAAGTGACAAAATGGTTGAAAAACTTCTATGACGCAAGCATCCAAAACTTATCCCACGGATGGCAAAATGTATTGAACTGAATGGTGATTATATGGGAAAATAATGTCCCTATGCTACAATCCATATAAGTTTTATGAAAATATCTTCATTTTTTGTATTGAAAAAAAATAATCTTGTAACCTTATTTTCCGGACAACCCTCATAGGTGGGAACCATGCTCCGCAATGCTAGAAATTTGGGAAACGGAGGAATATTTCACAGGGAAGGGGGTTTCATTCCTATTTGGGGACTAATGCCCTTATGTAGCCATGCCCCTCGATGCAGAAATAATATTCCCTATTTCAATGTCTCTCGCTGGAGTCGTGATATGACGGCAGAATAAAAGTTCTGTGTTTTCTTTTGAGCAAAGGCTGCACAGACCCACCAACTGTCATTTATTTTCCTGCAGCAATGTGGATTTTTTATTTTTTTGCAAAAAACGAACCATGGTTTTGGGAGGGCGCACGATGCCATAAGCTTGTTAACTACAGACAGCTATAATTAGGGCGTATTGAGACCGGTTGGGCCTTCAGGTTCCGTCCTAGCATTTTTTAATTCAGAATTTAAGAGTGTCAGGAGAGGAGCAAACCCCAGGTGGTTTACGGGGTTAAATGGCAGATTAAAGCCAGCCCAACTAATTTCTTTATTCTAATCTTATTAAGGGGGACGACAGCTGTCAACTGCCACCGCTTCTTCGGCACAAGGTCTTCGAGAGGAGCATCAGATGGTTGATGTATTAAAGCAAGGTTTAAGGGGGGAAAACATACCTTTTCAAAATAAAGATTTGCAAAACTCCATTTGCAAAGTAAATGTGGGTATTTTTTGCTCTTAAGACTGCTGCCTCCAGACTAAATAAACGCATACCCAATGATACCTGTAGACCAGAATCCAAACGCTTTAGAATAGTTGACTGTAATACGATTGTTTGCCAACTGCTGTTGTTTAAAACTTTTCTTAGCCCTCCTAAATCAGCTTTGAAGCTATGTTAGATGGCATCTATACTCTATCCCGACAAGCGATCCATCGCAGTCTGGTTTTCTCCTTGGGAAATCCCAAGAAAAGACGGCTGTATCTTAAGTGTCGCTCCCTCAAGGTCAAAAACCAGAGCACAGCCATTGTCCGGTGGGACAATATATTTATCGTGTCAGGAGCAAACCAAACAGTTGTATTGCAGGGTTGTTGCAGGTTTTATTGGGATATGGCCATGTTCTAGAGCAGTGGTTCTCAACCTTCCTAATGCCGCGACCCCTTAGTATAGTTCCTCATGTTGTGGAGACCCCCAACCATAACATTATTTTCGTTGCTACTTCATAACTGTCATTTCGCTACTGTTATGAATCGTAATGTAAATATCTGATATGCAGGATGGATTTTCATTCACTGAACCAAGTTTGGCCCAAATACCCGATACGCCCAAATTTGAATACTGGTGGGGTTGGGGGGATTGATTTTGTCATTTGGGAGTTGTAGTTGCTGGGATTTATAGTTCACCTACAATCAAAGAGTATTCTGAAGTTCATCAACGATGGAATTGAACCAAACTTGGCACACAGAACTCCCATGACCAAGAGGAAATACTGGGAGGGTCTGGTGGACATTGACCTTAAATTTTTGGAGTTGTAGTTCACCCACATCCAGAGAGCACTGTGGATTCAAACAATGATGAATCTGGACTAAACTTGGCACAAATACTCAATATCCC